CTTCTCTGCCGTAATTTTCAAAAAAAGTACATGTGACCTGCTTCTTCACATCTCTTATGTATAGCCACTGTGTGCTCATAAATGTTAACAACTGGGTCTCATCAAAATAAAAGTGTATCTATATATAAATACACACATATATGTTAATTGTAAATTGTACTAACATAAAGGAGATGTAGCACGCAATTTACCCATAAGAATAAAACATATAAAATCCTTTACTGTAAATTCCATATAGCCAACTGTTTCTTACAAAATGCTTTCATTAATACAAACCAAACCCGGTATATTCTGACACAAATGGTATTTTCTTTTGCATTGTTAAGAAGAAAGTGAAACAATGACTGTGTATGTCAGAACTTCTCTTATTAATATTGAGAGCAACTTCTTTCTTGAATTAGATAATAGTTTACAAATACTGAAGGAATATTTCCTCAATTTTTTGTGCCATTCACAATGTAATTGTTATATACCAACACAACTTTAAGTGTATTCCACATTCTTAATTTCTCTATCACTTTCTCAGGTCTAGAAAATCAACAAAACAAAATCTCAGATTATTTATAGCATTTATTTGCCAATTTCCATGGTGTAAATACTCTCACTATGACTAATTTCAATACACCAACAGGAAGTCGGTAAAAACAGACTTGAAAGGAAAAATATGGTCATACGTCATTGTATAGTACATCCACCCATTGAGGAAAATAGACATACCTAACCTTAAGAGCACAGACAAGAGGAAAATGTAGTAAAGTAATTAGGGAGAATGAGTTTTAATATTTTTATTACATTCATTCAAATATAATTTCATTTTAAGTATACATACTTTAAGTTTTACTAATGGCTATTTTAACAACCAGCTTGCATAATTTCCTGAAAATTTAACAATCCAGCTCTCTCAAGGCAGCATAAGCTAGATTGAGCACACCACTGAAAGAAAATACAGCTTGTACATACACCACTCTACTCCACCTGCTCTTGCTAAAGCCAACATGGAACGGCAGTTTCAAAGCCCATGGCATCTCTTACATTTACTTTATTTAACCTCTTAGAAACATTTCCACCTCTTTCCATACACCTTTAAATTGTAATTTGCCCTCCCTATCTATGGGTTCTACATCCCCAAATTCAACTTCAGATGCAAAATAGTTTTTAAAAAATAAATAAAAATTTAAAAAACAAGTTCAAAAATTATTAATACAGTATACCAACTATTTACATAGCATTTATTCTGAATTAGGTATTATTGGTAATATAGAGTTGGTTTAAAGTATACAGTGTGGATTATATGCAAATAGTATGTCCTTTTACACAAGGGACTTGGGCATCCACTGATATTGGTATCCAAGGGGGTCACTAGAACCAATCAACCACAGGGTAAATGGTACTCTGTCACTCTTTTCCAGCTTCATTTTAGGACTTTATCTAACATTCTCCTTATGCATTCATACTCTAACCTCAGCTTCCTCTTCTGCCCATTTTGCAAACCAAACCTGGGCAATCTCCCTAATGACTTCAGTTAGCAACTACTCACCAATCATCCCCAAATCTCTGCCACTTAGCAGACCAAATCGTTTTGCTAAGTTTCAGAATGGACTGCAAACTGCCTTATGAGTTAGGTCACCTTCTTCTATTCTTACTAATGAAGTAATTAGTTGGGTAATTATTTATGTCTCTCCCACTAAGCTGTAAGCTTGACAGGCACATGGAACATTGGCTCTTTTCTTGCCACATTCTCAGAGTCAAACACATTGTCTAGCACAGAGTGCTTACTCGCAGAACTGATGAAAATACAAATGAATAACAAATAAGCACTTCCAACACAACTTGTACAGAATACAACTCAGCAAATGTCCCCTAAAATGTGTTTCTCTACTGAATTCTAATCACACTGAATGATACCTACATCCAGACTCTTCCCTTATGAAAGAATCCCAGGTTTCCCTTATCATCTCGCTCCCTCATCTTTTAAATATCTTTCAAATCCATTTTCTCTTCCCCATCATCATAATTACTACCTTAGACTCCCTGTTGGCTGAACCACTTTAACAGCCTCCTGGGTTCCTGGCCCTGTCTTTTCTCACTCCAACTCAACTACATAGTTGCCACCTACCAAATTGCTTAAATCGTGACTATGGCCATTTCTGTCTAATAAACTATCAGGCATGCTCTGCTATCTAGAGGATAAACCTCAAACTCTTTACCCCAGCACTTACACAGCCCTTTTTGGTCAGGACTCCACCTGGCTTCCCAGCCTCACTCACCATCCACATTCCCACATGGAGTCTACACTCCAATTGTACTCAGATGGAATTCCCAGTCCTTTGTCACATCACTTGGCCTCTATACATTTACTTCTCTCTGCCTGGAATATCTCTATTGTTTGCATGGTATTCAAGGTTCATTTTAAGTACCCTTGCCACTTTGCTTGACCACAATAGAAGACCACTCTTCGGTACTTTGATAACAGTCTGAAGCTTCTATCACTATATTTATTCTCTTCTATAGTGGTTACTTTTGAACTTTATTTTTTTCCCCACCAGACTATGAACTTCTGCCCAAAATAGACTACATCTACCATAAGGAGAAGCACATAGTAGGAATTCAGAGCTCCTTCTATCACTATAAAAAGTCAAACCATTTGTTCCACAGAGAAAGTACACATCCAAGAAGCTGCTGTCCCTTTTAAAACCACTCACCTTGAAAGTTATCCACTCAGTTTAATGATGATGGCATTACTCCAAGTATTTTTGGAAGTCAACTTTCACAATTGTCGGGGGAATGTTCTTTAAATTATCTCAAGTGAGGCCAAAAAACATCATTCTGAACAGATCTGAGGCCTGGGAGGAATCATGGGGTGAGCAATATGATTCTGTGCAGAAAATGAGGAATGAAATATGTATTGCACCATACAATGATTGATGTGGGGACAATGACTAAGAAACTGCCCAGAAGCATGCCTAGAGGGAGAATCACAGAAAGTATTTTGAGCAAAGTTTCTTACTATTTCAAGCCATTTACAATTCCTGAAGGTAGATTAACAGACAACACTAATGTGGATGTATACGTATGGTTAAGAAGGTAGATTAACAGACAACATTAATGTGGATGTATAAGTATGGGTAACTTGCTTAGCCCACCACATTAATGTGGATGTATAAGTATGGGTAACTTGCTTAGCCCACCACCTGAAGGTCTTCAAATTTGCATTTTACAAAGACTGTCCAATATAAGTAAGTATTACATTAAGGGGAGAAAAGAAACCAGCAATTAAAGAAATTTAATACACGGTGCTGAAGTTTAAAAAAAAAAGATTTATTTACTACTGCACTTCTCAACACTGTTAATATCTTCATGTGCCTCTCCTGAAGTCCATCTATGCAAGGTACACAGGATTTCTCAAATTCTTTTAACATCATAATCTTTTTATCTTGCAGATATTGCGTGGTTTACATTCCATATACTTCAGGGAATGCTGCTTTGAGACTGGATAACTTATAATCAGAACTACACTGATACCAAAAGCTACAGATGAAGTTACTGAGAATTTACCCTATCCTACCTATGACATAGCTAATTTATCCTTACAAGATATCCTTACAACAAATTTATAGTGTAGGTAGCACTAGTATCCTCAATTTGTAGTTAAAGGGAAAAAATGTTTAACCTGTGCACGGAGTGGTTCTCAGTTTCACTGCCTCTAGGACTTTGCTTAAGCTTTCCTGCAATACACTGTTCCTTCAGAAATTCCCTGTTTCAACATGGACAATTCCTATCCATTAAAGGTCCATTTTATCCACTTTCCCCAGGAAGCCTTCACTGCCAATTGGCTAAAAATAACTATTTGCATGGTACCTTATTTCTTTCATGAAACTTTTAAATTTTCTGTCTTATTACATGCTCCACAGGGAAGCCAAATTCGCATGGCCTAAGAAGAAAACAAGCTTTTGACTGGCTAACATATTCCTGATAAAAGACAAGTGTATGGTCTAACCACATTTCTCTGGGTCTGCTGTTTTCTCAGGATCAATTAAGGTAAAGAGCACAATAATAAATTTGAAACACTGTTCTCAACATTTTAAAGTATGTTCAGGAATACTATCTCGTTTGATCCTCCATTTTGAAAAAAACAAAGAAAATAAATTCTCATTTGAAATGAAGAATCTGAGTTTTAAAACAGCTAATTGCCTCTACAAGAGAATTCGTACTCCCCATTACGTCACACAGCCTTTACACACAGTAGGTACTTACCTAAGGACTGAGTAAATACTTGAGAAAAGCTAACTTAATTTCTGGACTTTTTCACACTTGAGCACTCCTCCCACGATGGCGCCCATCTCCATATACATTGAACACTGCTGGTACTTGTCCACACTCCCTGGTCTTTACTACTGGAATCTGTGCCCACAGACTTCCAACTTTTTTATTTCAACCCCTTTATTTCTTTACCTGAGGGTTTTCTCTGGACCTGCACTGCAGTTGGAAGCTCTGGGGATTAACATGCCCTAGAAGAGACCCCAACTAAAGACTAACTGGTTCTATGATATCATATCCCAACTCCCTTGCTTCTCATGTAGCTAGTTCTAAGGCATATTTTTTACAGTTCCCCAGGAAGGATTAAAATTTCAGTTGCTTAAGTCAGTAACTTGTTTAATACAAGCTATTTACTGAATGCCTCCTTAGTAAACTACCTGCACTCAAATCTTTGTCTAAGAGTCTGATTCAGAGACCCCAAAGAAGACACTATCAGGTCAAAACAAGAATTTCTGGTTTAAAAAATGAAAGGTAAAAATGGAGGAATTATTGATAAATAGCTAAGTATAATCACATTTTTAAAAGAGAAAACATTAACCAGCCACTGTTTATCACTGCATGATGAACAAGTCCAAAATGGGAGTCAATGTTAGTACATTAATGTTAACTCATGAATTTGCTGACATGAAAAAGAAAAGCTGTTTTAAAATGTACAGAAAACACTTTAAAAATAAGTTAGGGTTCTGCCTGCTTCCGGACGAGCTATAAGACTTGTGCTCCGGTTCTCGGACTTCCCCAGCAGCATGGCCCCCAAACGCCAATCTCCACTCCCGCCTCAAAAGAAGAAACCAAGACCACCTCCTGCTCAGGAACTGGAGGAGACATCGGCCTCTGCAGGCTTGCCGAAGAAGGGAGAAAAAGAACAGCAAGAAGCAATTGAACACATTGATGAAGTACAAAATGAAATAGACAGACTTAATGAACAAGCCAGTGAGGACATTTTGAAAGTAGAACAGAAATATAACAAACTCCGCCAACCGTTTTTTCAGAAGAGGTCAGAATTGATCACCAAAATCCCAAATTTTGGAGTAACAACATTTGTCAACCATCCACAAGTGTCTGCACTGCGTGGGGAGGAGGACGAAGAGGCACTGCATTATTTGACCAGAGTTGAAGTGACAGAATTTGAAGATATTAAATCAGGTTACAGAATAGATTTTTATTTTGATGAAAATCCTTACTTTGAAAATAAAGTTCTCTCCAAAGAATTTCATCTGAATGAGAGTGGTGATCCATCTTCAAAGTCTACCGAAATCAAATGGAAATCTGGAAAGGATTTGACGAAACGTTCAAGTCAAACGCAGAATAAAGCCAGCAGGAAGAGGCAGCATGAGGAACCAGAGAGCTTCTTTACCTGGTTTACTGACCATTCTGATGCAGGTGCTGATGAATTAGGAGAGGTCATCAAAGATGATATTTGGCCAAACCCATTACAATACTACTTGGTTCCTGATATGGATGATGAAGAAGGAGAAGGAGAAGAAGATGATGATGATGAAGAGGAGGAAGGATTAGAAGATATTGATGAAGAAGGGGATGAGGATGAAGGTGAAGAAGATGAAGATGATGATGAATGGGAGGAAGGAGAGGAGGATGAAGGAGAAGATGACTAATAGAACACTGATGGATTCCAACCTTCCTTTTTTTAAATTTTCTCCAGTCCCTGGGAGCAAGTTGCAGTCTCTTTTTTTTTTTTTCCTTCCCTCTTGTGCTCAGTCACCCTGTTTTTGAGGTCTCTTTTCTCTACACCATGGTTCTCAACTTATTTGGGGGGAAATATCTTGAGCAGGATACAATGGGAAAAGAGTCTCTATCCCTTTCTGTTTGAAATTCATTTTATCCCTTCCTGTCTTAACAAAAACTGTATGGAATCAACACCACCGAGCTCTGCAGGAAAAAAGAAAAACCTGCCCCCTTCGCTCTGCTGGAAGCTGGAGGGTGCAAGGCCCCTTTGTAGTAGTGCATAGAATTCTAGCTTTTTTCCTCCTTTCTCTGTATATTGGGCTCAGAGAGTACACTGTGTCTCTATGTGAATATGGACAGTTAGCATTTACCAACATGTATCTGTCTACTTTCTCTTGTTTAAAAAAAAGAAAAAAAAAAACTTAAAAAAATGGGGTTATAGAAGGTCAGCAAAGGGTGGGTTTGAGATGTTTGGGTGGGGTAAGTGGGCATTTTGACAACATGGCTTCTCCTTTGGCATGTTTAATTGTGACATTTGACAGGCATCCTTGCAGTTTAAGATGACACTTTTAAAATAAATTCTCTCCTAATGATGACTTGAGCCCTGCCACTCAATGGGAGAATCAGCAGAACCTGTAGGATCTTATTTGGAATTGACATTCTCTATTGTAATTTTGTTCCTGTTTATTTTAAAATTTTCTTTTTGTTTCACTGGAAAGGAAAGATGATGCTCAGTTTTAAACGTTAAAAGTGTACAAGTTGCTTTGTTACAATAAAACTAAATGTGTACACAAAGGATTTGATGCTTTTCTCTCAGCATAGGTATGACCTTCCAAGTTTGACTTGTATAACATCACTGTCAAACTTTGTCACCCTAACTTCGTATTTTTTGATACGCACTTTGCAGGATGACCTCAGGGCTATGTGGATTGAGTAATGGGATCTGAATCAATGTATTGATATCTCCATAGCTGGGAAATGTGGGTACAATGTGCCATTGGTTTCTGAAAGTATTCACATCATTTGGGATACCAGATAGCTCAATACTTTGAGTATATTGTGCCCTTGATTTTTATCTCCAAGTGGCAGTTTTTAAAATTGGCCGTTTACCTGGATATAAAATAATAGTGCCTGCCACCACCATTCAACAGACCTGGTGCTCTAATGCCAAGTTACACATGGGACAGTTGCTGGCATGTCTTCATTGGCTATGTAAAATGCGGCCAAGGAGATAGGCTCTCGGAGTAAGGAGTCTGTGATGGTTGGCAGTAACTGTCCCTGCTCTCTGGTATAAAGCTCTCAAATGTGACTATGTGAATCTGGGTGGGATAATGAACCCAACTCTGTCTGCTCAATGCCATTGTGCAGAGAAGCACCCTAATGCATAAGCTTTTTAATGCTGTAAAATATAGTAGCTGAAATTAAATGCCACTTTTTCAGAGGTGAATTAATGGACAGTCTGGTGAAATTCAAAAGCTTTTTGATGTATAAAACTTGATAAATGGAACTATTCCATCAATAGGCAAAAGTGTAACAACCTATCTAGATGGATAGTATGTAATTTCTGCACAGGTCTCTGTTTAGTAAATACATCACTGTATACCGATCAGGAATCTTGCTCCAATAAAGGAACGTAAAGATTTAAATAAATAAATAAATAAAAAAAAATAAAAATAAAAATATGTTAGGGAAAGTGTCATTTAAAAACCCACTATAGGCCTTAAATTTAACACCTTCCTCAGGTGCATAGGTTGAGAAACAGTTTTAAATCTCACTTTTTTGCTTCTATTCCTTTTGAAATAGCTTTTTAAAGGAGGGGTGTGTAAGAGAAAGCAAGAAAAAGAAATCAGGTTGTGTTTCAATGAAGCCATCTAATTATACATTTCTTAAAATGTCCTCAGGTCTCTGATCTTCACTAGAGCAAATGCTAGTAGTCTCTCTCATATGCCTACATTTGAACACAAAGGATGTCTAATCATTTATTCAAAATTTACCAAACACTTCCTATGGAGAATTACAGGAACTTAGTTATAAAGATTTCTTTAATGAAAGACACAAGAGCTATCACTAAGGAGTTCTCAGTCTAGATGGAGAGACAGAAAAATAAACAGATAGTTATCGTTGAGGGTAGCAAGGGATGCCCAGGGTATCTGGGAAGCACAAACAGCCTAGGTTTGCTCCCAATCTGTACAGGGCAGGGGAGAGGTGGGTGGGGGTAGCAAAGCCACATTAATATTGTGACATGATGCTTGTTCTAAAATATCATGGTTGCCTGTACCCAACCCACCATATTTTATTTAAAGTTTTAAAACATAACACTTACATGTATACGCAAAAGAGCTTCTTTCAAGATTTTCTGATTGCAAAGGTGGGACAACCTCATCAAAGTTAATCTATTTTCATTTGTAAGGTACTCCTGCCTGCCCTGAAGCATCTACCTAATCCCCCTATTAAGTAATCCAACACTGGTGTACAAGAAGGGATTCCAGGAGAGGTGAAATATGAACTCAAAAGAAAATCAGAAATTCAGAGATGAACGTTTGAAGAGAGTGGGCATGATTTTTCTAGTAGAAACGCGTACACAGAGCCAGGTGCGGTGACTCACGCCTATAATCCCAGCACTTTAGGAGGCTCAGGCAGGTGGATCACGAGGTCTGGAGTTCAAGACCAGCATGGCCAACATGATGAAACCCCATCTTTACCAAAAATAGAAAAAATTACCTGAGGGTGGTGCTGTGTGCCTGTAATCCCAGCTACTCAGGAGGCTGAGGCAGGAGAATCACTGAACCTGGGAGGCAGAGGTTACAGTGAGCAGAGACTGCACCACAGCACTCCAGCCTGGGAGACAGACCAAGACTCCATTTCTAAAAAAAAGAAAGAAAGGAGATGTGTGCATAGATAGTAAGACTGATAGATGGCATGGAACCCTTCGAAGAGTTTGTAGGTTAGTATACTAGTATGAGGGAGGAAGGAGCAGACAGGCAATAGATAAGGGAAGACAAAGTACCCAGAAATGAGACTGGAACAATCAGCAAAGGTCAGATCATAAAGGATCTTGAGTTTTAAGGAGCTTTTGGTTTTTGTTTGGTTTTTCAGTGTGTTCCCTGACTTTTTCTGAGGTATCATTCACATACCTAAAAATTTACCTTTTAAACTATATAATTCAGTGATTTTTATTATATTCACAGAGGTATACAGCCATCAGCCCCATCTAATTCCATAAAATTTTTATTGCCACAGAAAGAAACCCCATATCCTTTAGCAGTCACATCTCATTCCCCCTTCCCTTTGCCCTGGGCCACCACTATTACACTTTTTGTCTCTGGGTATTTCTTATAAATGGAATAACATAGTATGTGGCTTTGTAAGTCGGGCTTTTTTCACTTAGCATAATGTTTTCAAGGTTCACTCAGGTATAGCATAAATCACTGCTTCATTCCTTTTTGATGACCTAGTAATATTCCATTGTGCAACTACAACACGATTTGTTTATCTATTCATCAGGTGATAAACACTTGAGTTGTTTCCAATTTCTGGCTATTATAAATGGATATGAATAATCATACATACATTTTTGTCTGGAAATATGTTTTCAGTTCTTTCGGGTGTATACCTAGATAATATAGTAACTCTCTGGTTAACTTATTGAGGAACTACCAAAATTATTTTCTGAAGTGGCTGTGCTCATTTTACATTCATACCAATGCCAGAGTTTGAAATCATCTAGAAAGAAGATGAGCTGCTCGACAGAAAAACAGTGAAACTGAATTTTAGAAAGGCTACTCCAGAAGCAATATTGGTTAGAATTCTATTGCAAGGAAGCCAGGTAAGATGACACAATTGTCTGATTAAGATAGTAGTAGAAATCATCTGAAGGAGGAAATGGATTTGAAAAGGAAGGGATAGGAAAAGGAAATAGCCTTTAGAAAAGATTAATTCAAAATTTAAATGACCTAGGAAGATGAGTATCCTCTCCACTAAAATGGCTAAAATATCAGTCAAGTAATGAAAATAAATAAAACACAAGATGTAAGCAATGGGGGAGAATCTATAACCAAAAAAAAAAAAAAAAGAACACACCTTTCTAAAGGAAGCAGCTGTATCTCAGCTCCAATCACCTAATGCTACAGGGAGTGTCTGTGCAGTGCAGAGAGATCTTCTCCTTATTCAAGAAAAGCTGAAATCTGTACCAATCTGTACCTTCATGTTAGATGTTCTGATTTTTAAACACTGTCAATTAATTCAATATTTCTTTGAATTCTGTGTGGCATCAACAAAACATGTCTACAAGCTGCCAGTTTGTGATCTCCCTTACACAGAGTAAGGGAAAAAGTGAGCCAAGAATCAGAACATGCCCACACTGAGGGAGTGAATTAAATAGGGTCCCAAGAAGGAGATGAGGAGAGAGCAGAGGCAGAGGAGGAAACTGGAGAGTGCGATATCCCAGAGCTCCCGGATGATCATTTCCTAGAGGCGGAGTAGTAAATAGTGTGAAATGGCACAGGGAGTCTTTTCACACTGGGAACTGAAAATTGAAAAAATATTTGTTGTCTGGGAGCAAAGCAGAAAGCTGAATAACTTAGCTTTCTCTCTTTTCCCAACTCTTATTTTTTTCAAAAGTCAACATAAGGATTTAGGTCCCTCAAATATATTTTTAAATTTCACAGAAAAGAGCCAGATAAATTTAATTACATTGTCCTTCTCAGCCAACAGATATTGAACTAATCTGGCTTAAAAAAAAGAAGGCCTTTGAAAAAGTTTAGATCTCTATGACGCATGATCCTTTCAAGCTTATAGTTATAAGAAACTCTTAACATGTCTCATAAATAAAAAAATACAATTATGGAAACCATGTAGAGCAGGTTCTCAAATCATGTCATTTCATTTGTTTCATTATAAAGTTGATAAAAGAAAAATAATCACTTCCTAGCCCGGGCCACTGTGTGCATAGTTTGCACATGCTCCCCTTGTGTGCATGGGTTTTCTCTGGGTACTCTGGTTTCCTTACACATCCCAAAGTTGTGCATGTTAGGTCAATCTGCATGTCTACACAGTCTCGGTCTGAGTGTGGGTTGGTGTAAGTGTGCCCTGTGATAGGATGGTATCCTGTCCAGGGCTGGTTCCCAACTGCTGCCCTGAACTGCTGGGATGAGCTCTGGCCACCCAAGACCCTGAATTGGAGTAAGTGGGTAAACAATT